TTTAAGAAAGGACTTGAGTCGCTAAAGTTTCGTCGGAACGAAGTTACGGAAAATTAACTAACGAACGGAGGCGTAACAATATTTATTATAGCCGTCCCTCATTTAGCAGTGAAAGACTAGAGGAAAGGCAGTTATTCATCACCTCCCACCGACAACCACGCTTTAACCAACGAATAGTGGGATTGACCGTCACATTATAATGCCCCCACGACTGAAAGGGCGAGCATGTTTGGCGGAACGTGGATTCGAACCCGAGGCCCTCAGATTGCGAGTCAAGCGCTCTAACCACCTGGCCATGCCAGGCCCATGCACATTGGAAAACAGTAACTCTCTAAAATAAGCACGCAGCTACAATCGGGGTTCAACAGCGAAAAAAAAACAAACAATTTATTCAACTATAACAACACTTAGGAATAAATTCAATACTTAACAAAACACGGGACTTGACACTAATGTTAATAAACAATATATCATAAATATCAATATCATTTCAAATAATGAAATCAGGAAAAAGAAACAGAAAGAAAAAATGCAATTTCAAAAAAAAAAAAAAAATACAGCAACACAACGTTCCAAAAATACTTTTCAATATTAATAGCAATATCGAGTGATAAGCAGCAATAATTCACTAACTATATCTTTCATTAACAATCTTGTGACTCTTTCTCTCTTAGTGAAGCTTCTGGTATGTTATTTATTCACTGAGTAGGTTACGAGAGTACACCTCAAGTGATCATTAATTTACATAATCTTCTGCTACATTAATAGTATCTTTACGTCACCGCTAGGGAAGCTAGTGTCAGTTTCATCATACATACATATTTACTCAAAATGTAAATGATTAGCTAGAATGTGAGTTAGTGTTTTAATGCAACTAAAATTTATAGATAAACTAAACGATAGAAGGGAATAATAAATGAACGATAAACACAACCATGATCATAAAAATAGAATTTGCTATCCCACAAAACTTATTCCAGTACTTTTTTCAGTTTGAAATGTATTGTATATATAATTTGATTTACAATTTAACCCAGGTTTTGTATGATACATCAATTTATGTCTTTTTTTCATTTAACATATCAGTTGAAATATAGACTAGTCATAGAAATCAAAGTGAAAATGAAATAATTTGTGACAAAGAGAATAACCAAAGAATTATATTATTCACTAATCCTCTGCCTAAGTGTAAACCACTTACCTTTGCTTCTCTGTAGGAAGTTCAGAACCTTTCTTCATCCAAGACAGCTACCACAAAAGTAGACAAGAATATCCTTCAGAGTGTCGTTATTGCCTGTAAAACATGCAGATCTGTGGTTATAGACAGCATTCTGATGCAAGAGCTGATGGCAGTACAATTACCTATTTCAAGTCTTTGTAGTGAAAATAAAGCCTTACTAGTTGACGTTGGCAGAAAATTTGAATATTCCTGCAGAAGTTTCTCTCAATGGAACATCATGCCTTGTAACAGACGGACAAACATTGGTCATGGCTCTTGGAAAGCTCCACGGAGCTTCATCGTTTGGTGGCTTGGCAAACGTAATAATACCATCAATTTTCCGAATAAGTGAACAGTTTGAGAGAACTGGTGTATATTTTGACATATATATATATGTATGAGGACAAAATATATTAAGGAAGAAACCAGAACAAAGTGAACAAAAGAGTTTCAACCAATTCGTTGGGTACCACTTCCCACCCAATGGTCAAACGTTCTTGTTCTAGGTGAAAATAAATCCAACTTAGACTATATTTCTATCAGAACAGCTTTTGTTGCAAGTGCCAAATAACCAGAGTGTGGTTGTTGCATATGTATTACCAGAAGTAAGAACAAACTGTGATGACTCACAAGTCGAATCCAGAAAAAGCTTGCACACGCATAATCTTGCATTATATTCGTGCAAAGACTGAAAATGTAGTGGTTTCTTTAAAAGAACAGATGTTTTAGTACTGCTAGTAGCAAGCACGTTTTAGCTAAATGGCATGCCCTTTCCTCTGAATGAAAGCTGGAACTTCAAAAGCCAAAATACTATTTTATTAATGAAATCGCCCAGCGCCTAAGTGAAAAAGTGTTAACATTGCTTGCTTTTCGTGCCATATATCAGGAATAAGTAAGAAATCAGTGTAGAATGTGTTTATTGGGCATTTAGAGCTTATTAACAGTCTTGGTGCTGGATAAGGTAAGTGTAACACGTAGCAAAACAATATATACGTTTCTGTTACTTGTTTCTTCCAATACTTTCAATGTAATATTATTTGAGACATAAGCCTTTTGCATTCTCTGTGCATAGATAGTTTAAATAATATGTTAAATAGAATCTGTCACACACGTATATCATTTATCTTCATATTCATCCAGGCTAGTGTTACATAGTTCTTGGGAAAATTCAATCAATACTAGTGAATGCCAATATGAACCTCGATATTTCGATAAATAGACTTAAAACTCTTTTCCTGATCTGAAAAAAATGAAGATCCTTAATTGGAAAGAGGATAAGAGTATTAAGGAACGACATCTACGCAAGAAAACCGGTTTGTGGTAGTAAAACTTAACGTTAACTATACTGCAACTCAATGATATTTCGTCATTTGTCACGTATGGATGCAGAAAATCTTGTTCTGAAACACGATTCAAAGTTTTACATGCAATGGAAATGTATCTACTTTATTTTTTATTTTTAAAAAAGCAGTTATTTTTTATTCCTTCATCATTTACAACGTAATTAGATTCTGGTTTCAAATTAGCTTCTCCTAAAGAAAGTGAGAAGAGATATTTATCTCTAAACTTTTCGATCTACCAAATGCCATTGTATGTGATGAAGCTCATGTTGTGCTTTTTTGCAACTCTAAATCATATACCACCGTCCACCACTTGTGATGTAGTGAAACTGGTTATTCAGTGCTCACATTTCCAAGTATTTATATGGAATTCAACAAGTGATGTATGTGCAGAACTTCCAAATGCTACAAACATTGAATTGTTCCTATACTGATGGAAAATTAAGGCCAAGATTAATGAAACTGCCCTCAATTATACACAACTGCAAAGAGATCATAGCTTGTCGTTGTTTTAAAGGATGTCTTTCGCAGTAATAAAGTTGTTGCAAATTGTTTCTACCATGCACAGGTGAAAGGCAAATGTTTTTTCAATCTGCAACAATGTTAAAAACTAATTTCTTAAGTTATAAATGTTTTGTAGTTTGAAAAAGTATAACTTGAAAACAATGCATCATTATTAAAAAATCAACATGCTTTATATTGTTTGTACCTAACAATAATATTATTTAATTGAAGCAAGCACCATAAATATGAGCTATTTCGAATTCAAAACGACACCATTAAAAATCCAAAACACGAATTGGTAAAACGTTTTACTGAATTCAGTATGCTTGTTTGTTTGTTTGGAATTAAGCACAAAGCTACACAATGGGCTATCTGTGCTCTGCCCACCACGGGTATCGAAACCCGGTTTCTAGCGTTGTAAGTCCGCAGATATACCGCTGTGCCACTGGGGGGCGAATTCAGTACATTGTCTGCCCACTTTTTACATGAGGTGACTAAGTGGTTGATAATATAGCAAATAATACCTAGTCTTATATATATATATGTATTTAAATATTTTTTGGAAAATCATAAGTTCCTATATAAAATATTTGCTAAATGTATTTCATTATTTTTCAGTGCTCTGGAATGCAGAAAGTTTACAAAGTAAGTAGTCACCTTTTTTTCTTTTACTGACTAAAACATTCCATACTGATTTGTTTGTTGAATTTCGCACAAAGTTACTCAAGGGCTATCTGTGCTAGCCCTTCCCCAAAAGTTTCAAGTGATAGAATGGAAGGAAGGCAGGTAGTTAACACTTCCCATGCCAACTGTTTTGGGCTACTCTACCAAGGAATAGTGGGATTTGCCGTCACATTATAACGCCCCCACGACTGAAAGGGCGAGCATGTTTGGTGACGGAGTTCGATCCTGCAACCTGCAAATTGCGAGTTGAGCTCCCTAACCACAAGACCATGCCAGGCCTCATACTATTCCAAAAAATAGACGAAAGCCACCATGTTTCAACAAATATGATTTAATTAAATAGTAAAGGCACAAACTGAATTTGTTTCTATTTTGAGCTAATAAATAATTGGACTTGAAAATCATAATAACTTTCTATTTCAACCACTTTATTAGAGTTAATTTATAATGGCAAGAAAACATAATAATTACTTTTTATTCAGTTATTTACACCTTTTTTATTTCTTGCTATTTTTTCATGTCTTTCGTGTGAAAAAAAAAACGTTTTAGGCATTATCTTTATTTATGCCATTTCCTAGATCGATTTTGTTTGTTAACCAAATATTTATTTTCTTAAACAAAATTTTATTTCTGGTTACTGTCGTTGCCAAACTGATGATTCGTTCACCGATGGAATTGTATAACTGGTTCTTCAGAGCATTGGTTAAATGTGGTATTGCACCATCTTGTACGGATACAGTGTCCTACTAAATGTCCATTTGCTGCAAGATGGTTAGTTAATGTATTGATGGAGAAAAATTCTATTCTCAGGCATCTCTGCAGGAAACTAATCCAATCATAACAGGCGTTTAGGTTTAACAATCTTTCAAGCCAAAAAGTGATTTGAGGCCTGAAAGACAACCCGGGGTGCTCAGAAACGGTAGTTTCTCTTCACCCTACGTGAGATTAAGGATGATTTACGCCAGAGAGGCAAACAAGCTTCTTCTTGGGAAGAGATTCACCAACGACGTGGACAGACATTTTGAGGCCTGAAAGACAACCTGGGGTGCTCAGAGATTAAGGAAGATTTACGCCAGAGAGGCAAACAAGCTCCTTCTTGGGAAGAGATTCACCAGCGACGTGGACAGACATTTTGTTTCTTTCAAAGGCATCTCAGGGCCGTGGTTTCAGGATAGTTACATACCCACAGGAGTAGGCACGTTTGACGCAGATCCCTACTCTGCATAGCCTCTTGACGGGAGTTCCTTCATGGTACTGGGTTGATGGTATGTTGTTGGAATGCCTTTGATGATGACTGCTGGTGGATGTGGCGGTGCCTTGAGTGCTGTAGGTAGTGTTGCAGGTTTGGGGTTGCTTGGTTGAAATGTTTGCTTGTTCAAGTTTTTCCTTGTTGATTCCCTCAGTGAGTTGGTAGATGTGTTGCTCGAATAGTCAGAGTCGTGTTCTGAAGTGTTGATGATTAGGCAGTTGTCGCTACTGGAGAGACCCTGAGTTGCTTCCTCAAGCATGTCGAATGTGTTTTCATCGACAGCAGTTCACCTGAAGATCTCATGACGATGGTTATGGTTCACGCAGCAGCTTGCAGTGTGGACATGTACTGATGATGAAAAATACATAATTTTTTGTTATTGTTATTGTAATCCTGAAAAGGGCTGTTTATCTAAGGTAAATATAGCTCTTTACTAAAGGTTTGATAAAAACCTTAAGATGAAGTTAAAACACAATATCAAGAGGCGACACTTACCTGTGGGTCTTTGTTACTTACCCTTCCTACGATTTTATTTATTTTATTTTATTCGTGGTAGGTGTTTAGTTTTAAATGGGAAGAAACTTTTCTCAACTTTGCCCCATTCGTGAAGATTACTTTTAACTAAACTTAATAATTGTATTAAGATATTAGTTTTGATTAAATTTTTCACTGGGAGTTGGTGAAGGCACAGATGACGAAGTGAAGGGAAAGACGGCGTAGTGAAGGTCGAGGCCAGCATCCCGGATTTCGACAACTATCGACAAACATTGATGGCTCATAATCAGGGTCACAGGTTGGCGAGGATTTATAATTCCAATGGATTTATAAATCCAAATTGGATTTATAATTCCAATGCCTTGACTGGGATAAATAACTCCAATATCATGAAATTTGCTGGGGGGGAGTACCCCCAAAAACCCCACTTTTACAGGACAGGTGCCGAATAGTTTACCCCTTCCTACTAGAAACCAACAATGACAACACCACATTCGTGGCAGGAATTTAGGTTTGATATATTTTGGGCTTCAAAGAATTTTTTGAGCTTGAAAGACAACCCGGGATGGTCAGTAACTTTTGTTCTTCTTCACCTCATGTGAGCCAAATCTTTAAAGTCACGCGAATTTGGTTGGGAAGTAGCCTCTGGGCTTAACTTTGGTAGAGCACCTTGTTCGAGATATGTGGAGACGTGACGGGTGCCGATTCGAGCTGAGAGAGAAAGCCGTGAAGAAGACGTCATTCAGTTTTTGTAGTAGGAGCATGTGTATTTGTTGTTACACGTGGTAATGACTTCAGTTGGAAGTGAGTAGTCGAGATGAGAATGTAGAAGCAGAACCAAGCATGCCGAATCTGTTCTTCACCAACAACAGTTCACCTGAAGTTCTCGTGAAGATGGTTTGACTGGTTACTAAAAATTTTATAGTGTTGCATTTAAACTGAATGAGCCTAATGGACTTACTAAAGAAACAGTCCTTTTGAGTGGTCCAGATCATGCGCATGTTCAGAATCATTCCAAATAATTTAACTGTTTTCTTAAATGTGATAGGGGTGTTATATATTGATAGCTTAATGTTTTGGAAGTTTTTATATTTACCTTTGGGTTTTTGTGGGATTAAGAAAGCCTCTCTATTTGTTGCATCAATGAATAATAGTGTTTAGGATATCTTGCACTCTGACTGCTGCAACAAATGGATCACGTGATGCACTCCAAATAGCGATATCGTCAGCTCAATGGGAAACTAGACTGTAACTTGTAAGCTAACTGTGGAAACGATATGTCGTTTACATATAGAATGTAAAATAGTGGACTGAGGACAAAATCTCGTGTTACCCCTGCTTTTAGAGGAAATGAATTTGATGCAGAGCTGTTTACTTTAACAGTGGCGAATCTGTTTATGAGAAAATAGATAACCATTTGATGAATGGTTACTTTATTCTTGAATAGTTTGAACCTTAGAGCATCTTGCCAGACAGAGTTCCATGCCTGTTTTACACCTAGAATGTGGAATGTTTTCAATTGAATCCTTGATAAACTGGTTCGACTAACCTGGCTAGGTGATCTGGCGTTTTGGGTATTGTTAAGGATGTTATTATTTTCAAGAAAGTGAAGTAGTCTATTTGAAATGACGTTTTCAGTTAGCTTTCCTAGCATGTTAAGTAGGCTTACTGGTCTATTGGGTAAGTTGAGATTTGTGTAGTTCTTGGTGAGTACTTTGATAACGGCGACTTTCCAGGTGGATGGGTAATAGCATGATGATAAAGATAAGTTATATTGGGGCAACTAAGTGGTTTAATATTTTGTCTGAGAGATTCTTGATGTTAATGTTATAGATACAGTCTTCCCCTGGGACAGTGCACTTGAGAGTTTTTAGTGTAATTTTTAGTTCAGTTAGTGAAATGGGGAGTGTATGTTAACTGTGTTGACTTTGAGGGTTTAGTAAATCCACAAGAAATGATGGTGTATACATTGAGATGTTGGTATTGACATGGTTAGTGATGGTATTGTAGTGTTGTCTGTCGAACGTAGAATGGTTTGGTGTGATGAATGTATCCACGTAATATTGAGTGAAAAACTTGGCCTTTTCGTCGTCTGCATATGGTGTGGTGTTGTTGTAGTTTATGTTAGCAGTTAAATTGTTTGTGTTATTATTACAGACTTTCTTGAACTTATACCAGAAAAGTGTTCTTCAAGTTGATGGGGCGGGGTGAGGGTTTTTCTGTTGTGTGTTGATATGGGTTACTTTGGAACTGCCTATTGGAGAAAGCAGGTTAGAACTTACTTTGAGCTTGATGCTATTTACCTGTTGATATTTGGGGGCAACCTCTGTAGAAGGTGGCGTGGGAGCCTCTACATTTGGCACATCTAGTAGCTGCTGTACAAACTGCTTGGTTGTAGCGCTGTGACGGTCTGGGTGGCGTGGCCCTGTCTGGTTCCATTTTGTGATGTGTGTACCACAGAGATACACCATCATGGATGAGGTTTTCAGCTGTCTTAAGGTTGGAGATGGATATCCTAACCAGTGGGGTGATAAGGCTGGTCCTGGTGGATTTTATACTCTCAGTAGTGTCGACTTGGAAGCTGTGGGCTGTACGTTCTTCTTGAATCTCGTCAGCAGTGATGTCCTTTGGGATTCCTTGGATGACAATGTCCTTCTTGGGTGTGGACTCACCAGTGACATGAACAGAAATCTTGGTTCTGGCAAAAGTGTCTTAAGGCCAGGTCTTCAACAGCATGCAGTACCCTTAGGGGTGGGTACACTTGGCACAGATGCAATCTAGGGAAATAGTCTGTGTAACTCTATGGCAATGTCTGGCTGCTGGAAAATACCAGAAACTCCCTCAATGACCATGGCTGGGGTGGGTAGTGGAGACTTGGCAGTTGTGGTACTTTGCTTCATTGGACTTGTGGGTTGACTAGGCAATTTGATTTTCTTGTTTTCATGTAGTGGGACTGCCAGATATCTTGTTAGGTCTTTGTTAGAACCAGGCGAGTTAGTCAGTGTCAATGAACGTGAGGAGATGGTGTCAGAGTCGGAACTGTCAAGGAGAGGCTCTGGTTCATAGTTCCAAGAAGTCACCTTAAAGTTAGTTGTGGCTCGACAAGCGTGATTGCTGATTGGTTGGATTGCTACTGAATGAGAAAAACTAGATATTTTGGGGTTTTCAAGTAGGAAGCAAAACAGTATTGAAATTACAAATTTGAAAGTATGCTTTCACAAAATGACTTGATATTTTAGTAAATTAAATTATTCTAAAAGCATTGCTAAACAAATTGAAAAGTAAGTAGATGGAATTTAAATCTAGCCTTATTTCAGTGTGCTCTACATCATGTATCACTTACAGTAACACACCATAATAAAAACCAAAATAAAAATTTACTTTGAATTTTCACTATGAAAATAAACAGCGACTTCTGGCAACTGCTGTATATCTGAAAGTTGGAGGTATTTAAATATATTTTCTCAAGCAATTGCTGGTAAATTTTCATTATGAATATAAAATTATTAATAGTGTAACTGATAGTCTCAGTTTAACTCACGTTGAAAGCTGCTAAAATTCGTGAACTGATTTGATGCAACCATGCCAGTAACTTATGACTAAGGCTTATGGAAATATTGCTGTATTGAAATTTATTGCTATTCAAATATTCCATTCCACACAGAAACTTCCAGCCTGTTATAGAAGAAATTTGTAAAGACTCCAGATGCGAAGTTCATATCACACTTTTAGGAATTCGTGATGGGAAAGATGGTTGGTTTCAAATTTATTGCCCAGAAAGTATAGCGTGTGATGATGGTGGGGATCTCTGGAGCCTTATTGTAAGTGCTGGAGTATTTTTTTTAATATTTTTTTTAACATTCTGCTCGTCTCATTCTATAGAAAACGACAAATAAGATAGTTATAAATTAAAATTTAAAATTACACATTTCAAATTAATACTACAACATACCGCATTTTTCGGAATATAAGACGCACCGGTGTATAAGACGCACCCTTATTTTGAAGACAAAGTTTTGGGGAAAAAAGCTACGGTAGCATTTGAAAG